AGACGCTTAACTGACTGAGCCACCCAGGTGCCTCAGTTGCTTTTTTAAATTAATCTTGTATCTTGTGATTTTCTAAAATCACTTATTATTTTTAGTAGTTTTTGTAGATTCCTTATGATTTTACCCCACACATCCAACATGAGTGAAGACAGTCTCACATCTGTGTTTTCAGTGTATGTGTGTCCTGTGTCTTGTGTCGGACCCCCTGCTTCTTGCTCCTGCTCCAGCATGCGGCTGACTGGCAGACACCCTTGTCCTGTTCCGATCTTCAGAGGACGGTCTTCAGTCTTTGTGATGAAGCATGAGTGACACTGACTGTAGGCTGTTCTTATGTGTCCTTTGTCAGGTTAACAAAGTTTTCTTTTGCTGAGAATTTTTATCATGAATGGGTGTTAAATTCTATCAGATGTTTTTCCTGCACTGTTGAAATGATTGTATGGTTTTTATTCTCCTACTGTGGTGAATTACATTGACTTATTTTCAGATGTTAAATGAACTGTGCAGTCTTGGATTAGCCCTGTTTGGTCCTGGTGTATTATACTTTTTATTACTGAATCTGATTTGCTAATGTTTTAAAAGGAATCTTCTTTTATTTTTGTGAGGGTCATTGGCTATAATTTTAAAATCTTTTTCATTATGGAAAATTCAAGCATATCCACAAGTAGAACCGTAAACTGCATCCAGTGACGGCTGCCATGTGCCTGTTCTGTGATCATCCACACATGGACAGTCTTGCTTCATCTGTACCTTCTGTCTGCCCCCCACCCCAAACTGGATTATTTTGAAGCAAAACCCAAACAGCGTATCATTTCATCTGTAGATACTTGAACATAAAACTTAATTGTAATACCATTTCACCCTCCAAATAAATACTTTGTTAGTAGATTCAGACATGCACTTAGTGTTCACATTTCTCCAACTGTCTTCGTAATTTTTTTTATTTATTTTTGTATTTGGATCCTGACAAGTGTCTGCTTGTGAGCACTCTCCCCCACCCTCTTTGTTCTGCAGTTTCATTAGTGTGTCTGTTTGGATCCAAACTCAGGTCATCCCCTCCTTAGTCCGTGTGCAGTACTTTATGCTTCTGTATATATTCACATCTGCCCTTAGTTCTGGGGACTCTGTCGGAAGCCCCTCTGACGCCGCCCTCCCTCTGCCTGGTTCCCGGTGCCACCAGCCCTGCGTTCTGTGTCTCCATCTGCTTCTGCATCCATGCTGCCTTCTTTGTTTGGATCCATCTTCAGTTTATTATTTGTTTCTTCAGCTGGTTTGAATCACCTGTTTCCCTTATTTTGATTTTAATTCTAAATTTATATAATTTCTTTTTATTGAGATGTCATTCACACATCATAAAATAAACCTTTTTGAAGTATACTCATAAGGTCGCAACTGATTCCAGAATTTTTAATCACTCCAAAGCAAAGGAAGGCCCCAGCCCATCAGCGGTCATTCCTGTCATGCTCCCCCAGCCCCTGGGCTCCCCTCGCTACTCTGTCTCTGGGGGTCTGCCTCTCTGTGAACACTGCAGGTGAACTCAGTCCCACAGTGTGCGATCTTTGTGTCTGGCTCCTCTTAGCTCGGTGACGTCAAGGTTCGTGTCATGGCAAGCACAGTCTTGCTGTTGTAGGGATGCATCACATTTTTTTTTTTTAAGATTATTTATTTATTTGACAGACACAGCGAGAGAGGGAACACAAGCAGGGGGAGGGTCAGAGGGAGAAGCAGGCTTCCCGCGGAGCAGGGAGCCCGATGCGGGGCTCGATCCCAGGACCCTGGGACCATGACCTGAGCCGAAGGCAGACGCTTAACGACTGAGCCATCCAGGCGCCCCTGCGTCACATTTTTTAATCCACTCATGGATTATATCTGGGTTGTTTCCACTCTCTGTCTGATGCCATTCACGTACAGGTTTTTGAGTGAGCACACATTTTCATTTCTCCTTGGTATCTATGTGGGATTGCTCGGTCATATGGGGACTTCGGGTGTGTTTGGGAAGCTGCCAGAGTGGGTTTTGAATGGGCCCCAGCGTCTCACACCCCCACCGGCCGTGCACGGGCCCCAGCGTCTCACACCCCCACCGGCCGTGCACGGGGCACCGTTTTTCCACACCCTTGTCCACACTTGCTATTGTCCGTCTTCCCGAGTCTAGCCATCCTGGTGAGTGTCTCATTGTGGTTTTGATTTATATGTACTTACAATTCTATTTTTTAAAAAGTCTTTTCCAAATCTGGCTTCTCATTTTTATAGTGTCTTATTTTTTGCTCATTTTTCTTTGTTTTCTACATTTTATTTTTTTTTAAATTCACGTAATTGTACTTATGAGCTATGTGATCACACATTCTATTTCAGAAATACAGTTATGATAATTACTGTGTGCTGTGTTGATGCCAGTGAGTCTTTGTTCTAAATCTGGTGCCTCTCCTGGTTCTCACTCCTGGTGGCCTGCTTCCTTTATGCTTACTGATACTTTATTTAGAAGCTAATTTTTTATTCTGAGTATTTGGTCAAACTTTGTGGAATTCGTGATCTGGGATGCTTTCTGGAAAACCTGCATTTGCTTCTGGCGGGAGCTAGCTGTTTTGTAAAGTGCACACACTTTTTTAGGTTGACTGCATGTCCTGCTTTGTCCAGCAGGCTCCAGGTGGGCCTGTCATCTCAACATTATTGTTAGTCTTGCTTCCCTTTGCTCTCAGAAGCATGCTGCTTTGGAACACACTGGAGGGCTGGCCTCGCCGCTGTGGCTCCTGGCACTGGGTGACGGCTCACCTGGTTGCTGTGGGTGCTGCCGTGGACAGCCTTAGTTTGCATAGTGAGGGCACGGCGCAGGCGCCGTGCAGCCAGGCGGCAGTGGGAGCTGCCACGCGAGAGGGTGCATCCAGGGGAGGTGCCATGGCTGGGCATGGGGCAGGGGCACAGGCAGGGCGCATGAGGCCAGCTGGGGCGGGGGTAGAGGCACAGCAGCTCTCACCACTCCCATCCTGCCAACCCCAGTGCCCCCGGCGTGGGCCATCCCTGTGGCCACAGAGGCCCTGGTGGAAGGGCAGGCAGCTCTGCAGGGAGCAGCTTAGACCCAAGGCAGAGGGTCCCTCGCTGTGGGGCCTGCAGCCCCAAGCAGTCAGTTGGCCTAGCCACAGATGAGCTAGAGCCCCACGGGGCTGCAGCCACTGCACCAGTAGATACAGTGTTCCTCACCGCGTGTTTTGGCCCCAGCCCTGCTGGCTGGCCCCACTTCTGGCATCAGGTGGTCATTTCGAGGCACCCAGCGCCCCTCAGCAGCCTCTTCTGGGCTGTGCTGGCCCCGGGAGGGCAGGATGGGCATGAGGTGGCCAAGGATGCGTGTCTGCACAGATGCTGGAAGCACAGACTGAGTCTTGAGCTGCCCTCCTGGGGACTGCTGGGGCTGAGGCCGGCCTCCTGGGGCAGGCAGTGACCCAGTCCGTCCCATCCCCTCCGTGGACACTTGAACGTACATGCAGAGCCCGTCTAGACCCCAGCCCAGCAGGCCCCATCTGATCCCACAGGACAGGTGAATGGGCACTGCCCTTGGCTGGGCACAGCCTCCCAGCCAGGCAGGGCCCCAGCACCCTGGGCAGCTCAGCTTTGGCTAAGTCGTGGTGAGGGACCTGGTCCTCCCTGACCCGTGGCCTCTGTGGCCATTTTGTGTGACACCCAACCCCTCTCCTCCCACAGATCCGTTGCTTCTCATTTTCTTGATTTCTCCCCCTTGTTGGTTTTTATTTGGGGGCTGGTTGAGCCAGAGGGTCAGGAATCTGCCTTTCGTCCTCCCACTTGGCGTTCTGGTTTTGGTTTATGAATAGTTTTAAGTTTTTCTGTGCTGACTGTATTTCTAGTAAACTCCTGGTTGGTGTAGGAAAAAAAAATAAGCTTATTGTAGGTTTTCTAGAATCCACTGTCGTATATAAGCGCATTCTTCCTGGTATCTCTGCTGCTGGGCGCAGGAACAGCCTCTTGTTGCTGCCTTATTAGCTTTCCCATGAGCTGCTCCCTCCACCCTGGTGGCCTCCTGTCGTCCCCCCCCCGCCCCCCGCCGTGTCTACGCCATCCGTGTGTGCTGCCACTGCCTCCTGCTCAAGCACCTGCCTTCGCGGCGCTGCAGACCGGCCCCCCACGCGTTGGCTGCCGTGTCCTGGTTCCCAGTGCCGGTGCGGCGCCGTGGCACCCAGGGAGTGGACAGACGGGACCTGGCCTGACGCGGCTCGGCTCTCGCGGACTCCCTCTTGCGTGCTGGGAGTTGCTCTTGTCTTTGTGGCGTTCAGTGTTTGGCCTGTGAATTGATTATCTCACAGGTCAGCTGGGTTTCATCCCCACTTGATGTATTTGTTCTTACAGCAAAGTGTGGAGAGAGCTGCTCTTGGGGGCTCTGTACCCCGTGGCCCAGCCAGCCTGTTTCCCCAATCCTTTATGGAGAGGCCCTTGGAACTTAAACTTGTGTCCTTATTTTTTGCTTATTTTGTAGTTTTAGGGTATTTTCCTTGTATTAAGTGGATTGTGAAACGTCAAGGAACAAGTGTTTTTGATTTTAACTTACCGTTATGGAACTTTTCCTGTGCTATTGAGGCGGATGTACCCACGTTGGGATAGATTTGAAACATACGATTTAGGTCAGCGCTAACCTTGATTCCGTCTTCTTTTATAGATGATGCGAAAGGGTCATCCTGCTATCAAGATGACGGCCGTCCGGTTTCCAGGACAAGACTCAGGTCTCCACTGCGTCCGTTCGTGTCTGCGCCCAGAAGCGGGTCGTGGCGGGGCTCCTGGCAGGTGGCACTCCACGCCCTGAGATGAGGTGGCATGCTCTCCACATGCCCTCTTCTTCGGTCAGGTTTATGGTCAGCCACATTCATACGCATCTTGAAAGATGGAATTATTTTTTAAAAGCTGAAGATAACGTACATTTGGGGGCACAAATGAGCCATTGGATCAGGTTTTTACCCACCTAAGATAACGTGACGAAGCAGCCAGAGTAGTTATGGTCAGTCATGGAGAATAACCAGGAAACTCGTCCCAGAAGGGATGGTGAATTTGTTTCTGATAAAATAAGTTTTAAAATAGAAGAGGAGGATGCTGTTCGAATCCCTAATCACAGTTTGGAAGGAGTGGAGTTTAAGGGCGAGCAGGACCGGCACCAGGCGGAGGGTGGCGGGGAGCGGGTGGAGGCCAGGGAGGCAGGCGGGGGCTGTGAGCCCCCTGGGAAGTGCCTCGCTGCCGACCAGGAGGAGGAGTACGGGTCTCTGCTCTCCCACTACAGCAGTGCGCTGTACGACGTGGCCATGGAGGCCGTGACACAGAGCCTCCTGTCGGGCCGGGGTGTGAGCTCCAGAAAGAAGTCCCCGGCCTGGAAGCATTTCTTCATCTCCCCCCGGGACAGCACTAAAGCCATCTGCACGTACTGCATGAAGGAGTTCAGCCGAGGGAAGAATGAGAAGGATTTGAGCACCAGCTGCCTCATGAGGCACGTGAGGAGGGCGCACCCCACGGTGCTCATCCAGGAGAACGGCGGCATGCCGGCCCTGCCCTCTCTCTCGCCCCCTCCACTGAGGCTGCCACCACAGCCCGCCGACACCGGGGACTTGGGGGCCGTGCTCTCACCCCTCAAGCTTGCCCCTAAGCTGGCGTCCAAGGTCCCGTCCCCCGATGACATGACGGAGGAATCTGTGGTGTCCTCTGAAGAAGTCCCCTCCGACGCGTCGGCCTCTGACAGGTACGGCAGGGAAGAGGGCCTGGGGGGGCCGCCACACCTCCCCACCCTGCCCTGTGAGGAGGGCGCGGAGAACGGGGTGGAGAAAAACCCCCCGCTCCCAAAGGGCACATCCGGGTCCAGGAGGCGGTCCGCCGTGTGGAAGCACTTCTACCTGTCGCCCCTGGATAACTCCAAGGCGGTGTGCATCCACTGCATGAACGAGTTCAGCCGAGGGAAGAACGGGAAGGATCTGGGCACCAGCTGCCTCATCAGGCACATGTGGCGGGCACACCGCTCCATTGTGCTGCAGGAGAACGGCGGGGGCACAGGCATCCCGCCCCCCTACGCCGCGCCCCCCACCCTGCTGCCCGCCCTGCCGCCTCCCGACGGAGACCCGAGCTCCGTGTCGTCCTCTCCCGGGAAGCTGGTCCAGGAGTCCCCCTCGGCGTCCTCCTCCCCTGACCGGCTGACTGAGGACCTGCAGGTGCGTTTGAACGCCGGAGACGCCCTGCCGGAAGACGCGACGGCGCTGTCCTCTGAAGACGTGGGCGAGGCCTCGCTGGCCCCCTCCCCCGAGAAACCACAGGCTGGCGGGTTGAGCCCCAGTCTGCTGGACTGTGGTGCTGTGTTCCAGCAGAATAAGAAGGTCATGAAGAGGCTGAAGTCGGAGGTTTGGCAGCATTTCTCGTTGGCACCCATGGACAGCCTCAAGGCGGTGTGCAGACACTGCGCCTGCGTCATCAGCCGGGGCAAGCGGGGCGACGTGGGCACCAGCTGTTTGATGCGGCACCTCTACAGGCGCCACCCGGAGGTCGCGGGCGGTCAGAAGGGCTCTCTGGGTGCCAGTCTGGCAAACTCTCCGTACGCCACACTGGCCTCTGCGGAAAGTTCCTCCTCCAAATTGACTGACTTGCCAACCATGGTTACGAAAAACAATCAGGTTCTATTCCCCGTTAACAGCAAGAAGACCTCCAAGCTGTGGAACCACTTCTCCATCTGCTCCGCAGACCCCACAAAGGTCGTGTGCCTGCACTGCGGCCGCACGATAAGCAGGGGCAAGAAGCCCACCAACCTGGGCACCAGCTGCCTTCTGCGCCATTTACAGCGGTTCCACAGCAGCGTGCTCAAGACCGACGTGCCCAGAGCAGCGCGGGCCCCCTCGCCCAGCCTCCGGGGGCCCCTGAGCGCACAGCTGTCAGGAGCTTCCTCCTTCGATGACACCAACGAGAAGTTTTATGATTCTCATCCAGTTGCCAAAAAAATCACAAGTCTCATCGCAGAAATGATTGCACTTGACCTCCAGCCATATTCTTTTGTAGACAATGTTGGCTTTAACAGGCTGCTTGAATACTTGAAACCTCAGTACTCTCTGCCCTCGCCTTCCTACTTCTCGAGGACAGCCATCCCAGGTATGTACAATAATGTGAAACAGATAGTCCTTTCGCACCTGAAGGAGGCGGAGAGCGGCGTGATCCACTTCACGTCCGGGATATGGATGAGCAACCAGACCCGCGAGTACCTGACGCTCACCGCCCACTGGGTCACCTTCGCGTCGTCGGCCCGGCCGTACTGTGAGGACCACCACTGCTCAGCCCTGCTGGACGTGTCTCAGGTCGACTGCGACTACAGTGGCAACAGCATCAGGAAGCAGCTGGAGTGCTGGTGGGAGGCCTGGGTGACGTCCACCGGCCTCCAGATCGGAATCACCGTCACCGACAACCCGAGCATCGGGAAGACACTGAGCGAGGGGGAGCGCGCCAGCGTGCAGTGCTTCAGCCACACGGTCAACCTCGTTGTCAGCGAGGCCATCAAGAGCCAGCGGATGGTCCAGAACCTCCTCAGCATCGCACGGAAGATATGTGAGCGGGTGCACCGGTCACCCAGAGCGAAGGAAAAGCTAGCAGAGCTGCAGAAGGAGTACCAGCTGCCACAGCACCACCTCATCCAGGACGTCCCGTCCAAGTGGAACACGTCGTTTCACATGCTCGAGCGGCTCATTGAACAGAAACGGGCCATTAACGAGATGTCCATCGAGTGCAACTTCAGAGAGCTCATCAGCTGCGACCAGTGGGAAGTCATGCAGTCCGTGTGCCACGCGCTAAAGCCCTTCGATGCCGCCAGCCGGGAGATGAGCACCCACGTGTCCACGCTCAGCCAGGTCATCCCCATGATCCACATCCTCAACCGGAAAATCGAGATGCTCTTTGAGGAGACGATGGGCATCGACACCATGCTGAAGTCCTTGAAGGAAGCCATGGTGAGCCGGCTGGCCGCCACCCTGCATGACCCGAGGTACATCTTCGCCACGTTGCTGGACCCTCGCTACAAGGCCTCCCTGTTCTCGGAAGAGGAGGCGGAGCAGTACAAGCAGGATCTAATCAGGGAACTGGAAGTGCTGAATTCTACCTCAGAGGACGCGCCTGTCTCCAACGGCTGTGACGCGGGCTCCCCCTCACGAGGCGCGGTCGGGGAGGAGAACCTGTGGTCCCTCATGGCCAAGATGACGAAGAAGGGCCCCAGGGAGAAGACAAAGGTGCCCGAGGACATGGTGCTGGCGTACCTGGAGGAGGAGGTGCTCGAGCACACCTGTGACCCCCTCACCTACTGGAACCTGAAGAAGTCGGCCTGGCCGGGCCTGTCCGCGCTGGCCGTCAGGTTCCTGGGCTGCCCCCCAAGTATCGTCCCTTCTGAAAGGCTGTTCAACACACCGACAGAGAACGGTAGCTTCGGCCAGTCCAGGCTCATGATGGAACATTTTGAAAAGCTCATCTTTTTGAAAGTGAATCTTCCCTTGATATACTTTCAGTATTGAAACTCGCAATGGAGCCGCCGGACAAAAACTGTTGTTGCTCATCAGGCACCAGCTGTCTGTCTCGGGGTGGTGGCGCACCCCGGGCAGGGCCATGTGGGATGAGGCGGGCACGAGCCTCCCCGTCCAGCATCACTGTAATGTCTACGTGTGCCTTACTCCCAGTCCTGCAGGCCGGGCGTCGCCGTGGGCTTCCCACAGGCCCGCAAGGAAAGGCCTGTCTTGCCGATGATGAAATACGATGATTAGGATTTCATTCATAACTGTAAAGTTTTTTTAAAGTGGGGGGTTAGTAATTTGTTTTACTAGGACGTCAGAGGAGATGTAAACAATTTTATTCTGTAGGCTTTTTATTCAATTATGTAAAAACCACAAATCAGGTACTGTATTTTAGTTAAAAATTGCTTTAATTCAACAGAACAGCTTTTGTGGCTGTTTAATGAAATCTGTAAATAGGAGGTGGAGTTCAAGCCATCCTGGCTAAGCAGTTTTTAACTGCAGGCTCTAAAGTATGTCGAGTACAGAGAATATTCTGGAACATAACTGTTTACTGCAACAGAGGTGTGGCATTTGAAGAGGAAACTAAACGTAGACGTGTCCTGGAATGTCGGTTCTGTAGTGATTTGGTAAAGGGAGCGTTCCCGGTCTGTGCTTCTGCATTCAGGTTTTATTTGGTCGACCTTGATCATGAGCCCCGGACACCTGCTGTCGAGCCCGCGCTAGGGGCCCGTCCACAGCACTCCTGCTGTGGACACCCCGAGCCTCGGACCTGCTGTCTCGACACCAGGAAGCTATCTTTTGAAATTTGTGCACTGACCCCATGACCCCAATTTGATCAAATTATGTATAAAATCCTTTTTAGAAGAGATGGCTTGTTAACAGGGAGGAGATCGTTCTATTGCAGTTGTAAGAATAGCCTTAGGTGTCTAGATTTTTTTTATATATAAAATAGGGAAGATTCAGCCATCACTGGGGTGTTTTAGAATCCCAAGGACAGCAGAATGAAGCGTCAGTTGTCATTCTTTTAACGATGATCTGTCTTCAGAATTTTTGCTTCAACATCTAGAAGAGGGTTCATTTTCTTATTTCAAACCAATTAAATATTCTGGATGAAACAAGTCACTCATTTGCCTGTGACCTTTTAGAAAAGTTGTTTTCTTAAAAAAAAAGTACCTATTATTAATCTGGATTTGCATTGACTATGTTTTAGTGTATTTATAAATGGTGAACTCAGTTTCTGAAATTAAACTTTTTATTTGCAATTTTCTACTGCTGGAGGACACTGGCTTTTTATTCTGAGGATGACAGGAGGGTCCTACTCTGGGGAGCCACTCTCATGCAGCCTTTGGAGTCGGAATTTTCGTCGTGGCCCCAACAGGGAAGGGGGCTGGGTGGTGGAGATGTGACTCACAGCAGCAGCAGCGTTTCTGATAGCGGGAACGCCACGGCGAGACCTCGGGGGCTCGGGTTCACCAGTCCGCGCTGCTTCACACTGGGTGCCAGAGGGGAAGAGCATCCCTCCGCCATGTGGCCTGCGCACGCCCTTCCCGGGCCTCCCAGCTGGGAGCGGCCTCTGCCCAGACGCCCGAGGAGCACCGGCCAGGGACACACTGGAGAGTCGTGCTGACGTGGTGCTTTCCGCGTGAGTCTCTGTGAATGTGTGCGCAGAGTGATGCTGTGGGGAAGCCTTCGCCAGTTTGGGGTTCAGCCTGCCGTCAGTCTTCCCCAGCCAGGATCTAACCGAGCTGCAGGAAGTGAGTCCAAAGTCCGGAGCAGATGTTAGGAAGTTCGGGTATTGAGCCCATGGCTTCCCCAGAAGGAGCGCTCGTGTCTCTGTTGTGCAAGCTGCACGTGCCTGCCCGTGAGTTCCGGGAGTCAGGGGGGCTCCAGTGGAGTACCGGGCGCTTGCGTGCGTGTGTGCGTGTGCGCACGCGCGCGCGTGTGTGTGTGTGTGTGTGTGTGTGTGTGGTTGCCCGGCTCCCAGCAGGGTGCTGGGAATCTGGGACTTGCCCAGGCCTCCGGGGTTGACCCAGGTCTCCACCCGGGGGAGGGTCCGACCACGCACAGACGGCGAGCTGTGGGCCTGCAGGACTCCCCAGCTTGTTGGTGTTGGGTGAGGCTGCCCCTGCTGGAGCAGGGCTCCACCCCTGGATGTGCTTGGGCAACCCCGTCCGTCGGCTATGACGCTGCAGAGGCTATGAGGTGACTCAGTGGCTCAGCCGTCCTGGCTGTGGGGCTGCACGTGGGCAGGAGGGGGGCCTGCCAGACAACGTGGGCTGTCCCCTGAAAGGAGGGAGCACAAAGTAACTGCAGGACGCAACCTGTCATTCGCTCAGTGACCGAGTGGCCCTCCTTCCTCCGGGCCCAGGCCAGCTCCTGGCACAGAGCGGTGGTTAACGTGGACGCGGTCCCTGCTCATCAGAGCCTGTGGTCTGGGCTGTGTCTCCGTGAAGCTTGCTTGGAACGCAGCCCTGGTTGTGCCTCTGCTCGTTCCTGCTCTGCAGCCGTGATGGAAGACACCCCGGGCCCACAGAACACAAGGGTTTGCAGCACATTTGTTCTGTTGCTTCTGAGCTGGTCTACTTTTCTGTCCAGCTTTCAAAACCTGTGGCCTCAGGCTGCTGTTGTCCGGCGAGGTGTGCGGGTGACAGTCCACGTGGGAGGTGTGGGAGGGGGCTGCAGAGCACACCCCCTGAGCGCTGGCCCCAGGGAGGTGCCCCCTCTCACACATTCGTCCCACCCTGCGGCTGGCAGGTGGTTCTGGAACCCGGGCGCCATCCGGCACTGCGGGAACAGCAGGCCGTCCGTGTCCTCGAGTGGCTGACGGTCCCGCGGGAAGGAATGGCTGACGTTGACAGCGGTGTGCGAGGGGGACGGTGGCCAGCCTCCAAGGACAGCAGGTCTGTTGTGTGATGTCCCGCCTTCACTCTGTTCAAACCTGAATCGTGAGCTGCTTGTTTCAGATGCCAGATGACATTTTGGGCAGGCTGCTTAACTTCACTGGTCACTCATAAGGAAAAGTCCTTTGTGTAAGCTCAGGATCTCATTTCAGTGAATAAATGTATGTTAGTCAAACACCGGACTTCATTTAACGTTAAAATGCCCTTCCCTTCCCCTTCTGACTCAGGCGGCGGCTGGTGGCAGACCGGGCCTCCCCGAGAACCATCAGGGCCAGAGCACATAGAGTTTTAAAAAGAGCTTCCTGACAACAGCGCAGAGCAGGCACCCCTTCCTCGGCATCTGAGGAACCAGTCCCAGCGAGCGGAGTCCCCCGTGGGGACACCAGCTGGCATGCAGAGAAGGTGGCGGCCCGAGCCGGCCACGGTGGCCCTGGGCGGGGAGAGCAACGGTGGTGCGGCCAGGAGCCCAGGTGCTGGAGATGTGGGGGCCTCCGGAGGGGCCTTGTGCTGGACCGCCGCCCGGAGGCGGGTGCCAGCTCCCGCGAGGTGCGCGTGCCCGGACGGCAGCTGGGAGCTCAGCAGGCGCCCCGTGCGGGAGACATGACTCGGCGCCTGCCACTGTGGGGACCCTGGCTTCCAGGGCCAGTGAGAGACCAGCCTGCACTCAGCGGGCTCGACCACATCAGGAACACGTAAATTTCTTTCAGTGAGAAGATCCAGAGTGTCTGTAACTTCACATAATTCACTCTCTCAGAAAATATAAGACATGCCAAAAAAACAACCGTGACCAAGGACTGTGAGACGGAGGGGAACAGACTAGAGGCAGACTCATGGGCATCCGAGGCAGAGCCGAGACGTGGGCTCTGACTAATCCGCTCGGGAAAGTTGACGTAAGGGTGGGGATTGTCGCCAGAGCGTGAGAATCTGATGCGGGACAAGCCAGGGATTCAGTCCGCGGGTCGCATGTCCGAGGGCGGGTCGCATGTCCCACGGCACAGGGGCATCAGCAGCGTGACCCCGCCCAGCCCGGAATGCTGCGGGCCCCCAGGCCCCCAGGCCCGCCTCCCCTGCAGCCTCTGAGGTTTGCATAAAGCACCTTGTTCAAGCTATTTTAATAATTCCTGTGTGCAGCTATTTTAATGAAAACTATATATAGGCAGGTTTTCATAAAATCCAAACTAGTTTTAAAAATTATTTTATCTTAAAACGATCTCAGTCTTGCAGGATTTTTGCAAGTACGACACAAAGAACCTCCTCCCTGAACCTCTTGAGAGGGTGTTGTGGGCCTGATGCTCCCCGGCCCCCGAGTGCCTGCACCCAGGAGGCTCACCTTGAGAGGGGTCAGCCCCCCAGGAAGGTCTTTGGGGAGAGCCTCAGACCCCGATGCAGACCCGAGGGCCCCGGCCACTTCTGCTGCTTCCACGGAGGGCCAGCCGTGCTGACCGCGGTCCAGCCCCACAGCCTGCGTTGAGCTGACCTGCCCCTTCCATCCCCTCCCGTCCGGAACATTCAGTGTCCTCGACCTCCACACTCCTGCCAGCAGGTGGTCATTCTGTGGAGTGTCCCTCAAGTGGGGCTTGTGTGGTGGTTTCACAAGGTCACTCACCTGGTTGCTGGGTGAAGGGAGGTCTACCAGGCCTCTCCCTGCAAGTTGTCTTCCCTTTATAATTACAAAGTATGTTGTATGAAGCTCTTTGAGACGATGTAAACACCCCATTCCTCGTAAAATTTTAAATTTATTCATTTTTTAAATCACATTTAAAGATCTCACATATGAGCTGTTAATATCACTATCGTGCACAAATTTTCCCTGAAATGGCCAGAGGGAGCCCTTTGGTCTGGCCTGTGTGTCCTGTAGGCCGCCATCATTCTGCAAAATGTCCTTCTCCAGGGGCAACGCCTTCAGGCTCATCTTCTTCCTTCCCTGCCCCATCAAGGAGCTGGGTGTTTCTCCAAAGGCGCCCTGGCCCCACACTGGAGCCCAGGTCCAGGTGTGGGGCATGCTTGTCCCTGCTGGGGTATTGCTCCTCATGGGGACTTGCAGGGCACACGTGCATTTATGTTTGTATTTCTGTGTCTAATATGCTGGAACCAGGACTCTGT